GCATATTCCAACAGCTGCAGCAAATTGCTAAATCATTCTTGGCTAATGCTGACATCAAATTATCTAAATAATTTTTGTAAGGTTATCCCTTGCCATGGGGACAAATACGTAAGTCTTTATATGCCTTCTGCTCTATTCCCTTGAGCTCCATTTGTCTTAATTTTATAAAATAATGAACTATTTGTTTGGCATCTGAGCTGCTCCCCTCATTACTCAATCCCCCCACCCCCCCCAACCCGATAAGTCAACTTGCAATTAATCCAGAATGCTGAACTTGTGACTTTGCAGATGCCAACACACTAGGTGACTGGGATATCATCACAGGAGTGAGATAGTGACTCTCTGGGGAGATCAAAAAGAAACCAAGATGCAAGAAAATGCTGCCATTATTATCTGCAAGTGGGTTAGCTCAATGTCACTGCAGCAAATTCTGTAATTCCAGTAACCACCGCAGTGGTTACTGGAAGTCATCTCTTAGTACCAGAGAGCCGTCCTGGCCCTGGATATCTGTGTAAGAACATTAAAAACAGATTAAAAACAAAACCCAAAACACTTAATGCTTTTAAATGTATGATTGTACTGTCATGGCAATGTACTGTGGCAATTTTCTCTCGGATGTATCTTTCTCTCTGAAAAAGTAGAGCAGAACATTTGAGGGAACTCTACAGCTGCTATCAGGGAAATTATTTCTCTGATATCTGTGCAGCTGTGCCTACATGTGCTTGTTGGAAGTTGTGCTTTTTAAGTTGATCTGTCATATGGACCTGACAGCAAAAATGTGTCGCTGAAGATTTTATTTGCTCACTGTCCATTAGTGTAGGGGAAGTAAAGTGCCTGGGCAGAACGTGCCGTGATCTGCTTTCACCAGCATTCAGTCATCGGCACCTCTCTGGGCTGCTGTCAAGCTGCCGGGACGCATTACTGCAGATTACTGAGCAACTTGTGTAGTCTTCAGGTGCTGCTCATGGCTTGGGAGATTCCAGATCCAGTTTTATCTAAATGCTGGCAACCCGCCATGCGTTTGTTTGAGCTTGACTGCAGAAAGTCGGAGGATGACCCTGAAAGCAGTTCAGCTGCTTGCTCAGAGCTGAGCTGGGGAGATAATGTTGCCTGAGATGCTCTTGCACGGGGGGCTGGGTTATTTGATGCATTTCTTTTGAAGCCCAGTGAGTATGGAGGAACTGGAGAGCCTCTGGGCTGTGCCACTAATGGTACTGAATGTTCAAAGCATGTCGGGTAGAGGCGAGCACTAACTAGGAACCAGCAGCTCCTCATTCAAAGAAGGCTGGGTGAGGATTGGCAAGAGGGAAGGTGTTTGTGTCCATCTGGATGTGAGGACTGCACCAGAGCTGGCAACCTCCATGCCAGGACAAGCAGGAAAAAGGCGTATCATCATGCTTACATGTGCACTACAGAGCTGGTCAGCTGTAGAGGAAAAGCCCTCGGGTCTCTCTGTCAGGTCTGGAGTAGCCTCCTCGCTGTCTGCTGGGATGGATGCTGTATGGTACCCTCAAAGCCTCTGCTGGAATGGGGTTGCCTGCAGGACTCACTGTTCGGATTGGGAGTTAAAGGAAAATACGCTTGAGCTTCCAGTACCATTTCTGGAAACATTTGTCTCCAGATTTCTCAGCCTCTAACCAGCCTGTGAAATGTCAGAAAGCTGGACAGGGCTCCTATTTTTACAAATGGGGAACAAAAAAAATGTTATTTGGTTCTAATATCTCCCCTCATGAGGAGCGCAAGATGGGCCGCAGCTTTTTGGCTGCGTTAGGCCATCAGAGCAGCCATAATCAGCATGTTTTATGTTTCTACATGGGCTCCTGGCCACCTGTATAATGTCCATCTGTTGAACTGGGCGTGATGCCTGCTGACACTGAGATCCAGATCATTTGAATGAGGCATGGGTTTCCAGGAGGTGATGATGTTCCTGAAGGACAGTTTGCAGTAGCATGACAAATGCGTGAAGTCCCTCCCATGCACCGCTCTCATGGCAGTGCCATTCACTTCTCGTTACTTTAAGGCATTTGGGGAGGTTCATCTAGAAGAAATGTAAACGCATTGGGGCAATGATAGCAAATGAATATTCAGAGACAGTCCCTGGCCCTCTGTGACTGTATCTCAGCAGTTGTAATATATTCATCTTAGAGCTGTGTAGTGCTTTTCTGTGAATGGTGAATTTGCTGAAAAATGCGGTTTTAGAATAACCACATCTATTTGCCATCTGAAGTGACATTTGTTAACTAGCTTTAAGAGGGAAAGGACATGGTGACACCAACTTCCAGCAGTGATGGAGGATCTGTCTCTGCCTTCCGCTTGGCCAAGGTGGAAGGACCCCATCACATCGAGCTGTGTGCTCAAGTTCCCTTTTCTGTGAAAGGAAGTTTGAACCTGCATCACTCACCTCCCAGTAGATGTCCCAAATTATGGGGCGGGTGATAGTCTGAAAGCCTGCTGCTGGTCTTATTCTACCTTTTAAAAGCAATTAGGGTTATTAGAACAGGGTTTGGATACCTAGGTGAATATTGAAAGTATTAAGCTAGGAATTTTTTTCTTTTTTACTCTCAGTGACTGTGTCCTGATGGAAATGGAACAAGTTTGATAGGATGGACCCAACTCCTGTACCTGATAGTCTGACAGGTTGTCCTGCTGTGCCTTTGGAAGAGAGGATGGTAAAGCCTGTTTTGGGGAAGACTTAGTTAAAGGTCTGATAGTAATGGAGTGAGAGTGCCCACAAGAGAAGGTACAGCCAGATAATGCATTTCTACCAAGGCACCTTGGTCTTGGCTGGCCTTCTGTATTCAGCTGTGTCTTGGCTATTTCTACAGAAAAGAATGCCAAATGCACTAAGTTATGAAATGATTTTATTGTTTTGTTTTGTATGTTCAGGATGAATTGATTTCTTGCTTGAAAGGCAGTGACTTTATCTACAGTAGCAAATAGCACCATGCAGTAGGAGCAGATCTGCAGAGCAAAACAGTAATGAAGACCCAGGCAGATTTCAGGAGGTTTGCTTCAAAACAGCTTTATTCTAAGCCCACGTGAATGATATTTTGAAAGAAACTTGTAGCAAATCAGGAGACCAAATATTGCATGTTGAAAATGTCAACAAAACCTTTTAACTTATTAGGAATATTTTGAGTTTTATGCCAAAACAAAGATTTCAAAAATCCTGGCACATATTCATGAGACATTTCAATGCTGATGAAGCTGCATTTTTTTGTTGGCAATTGTTTCATCTGAAATTTCATCTGGTGCTTCTTGAGGTCATCTGGCATCCTACTTAAACCTGTGTATGTTGCTCTGTGTGTGATTTTTGCTATCGTTTCAAAGAAGTCTATATATAAAACTGATCTCTTCATAACTATTTAAAAAAGGTATTCTTATACTGATCACTCTGCCTGCACCAGAGAAACGAAAAAAATCCAGTGCTGCCTCAACTTTCTTGTTCTGACTCCTCTGCTGCATGACTATGAAATCAGTCATGACACATTCGGGCAGCAACAAAGGCAAGACTGTCATTTGGGAGTTGAGAAAAAAATTGGGGATCACATGCGGGAGAGCAACCCAGCTGCAATGAAAGGAGTGCACGTGAGGCTTGTGCAGAAGCGGCTTTTAATGTAGTAAACTTTACCTGCATGCTGAAGGCTATAGATACTGTCATGTGGTAAAGGTGGGGAGGGCTTACTGGTGCTCTGAAGATTGTGTGGCCTCTAGAAAGAAAGCAGATTATCAAGAGTAAATCATGGTGACTTTCCCATGCAAAGGTACCCTCCTATGCAGTCAACACCCCAGGACAGCAAGTGTTCTTGCTACTTAGCAAGTCTGTGGTTTAGGTATTATATTTTACCATGACTCTGGCTGACCTCCCTATCGGTTACATCCAATGATTCATATATGTCATACTTGAGTACTGAAATGTGATTTGTTTAGTGTCAGACGTCAGGACAGGTCAAACATCTGTGCAGGTTTTGATGTATGTGAATGGCCTAGGATTTCCTGCCAGATTTCTCGTTCATCTTGGCGATTCCAGAAGCATACGGCAAGGAAAAGTTATAGTCTTGACAGGATACTGGCTTTGGAATAGTATATAAGTCTAATATCAGAGATAAAATAGACATCAGCAAATAGCTGTTGGCAATTTAACAAATTGTAACCTAATGTATTTTTAAACCCAACTTTTTCTATCAAGAGATGAGAAGACTATCATATTAGAGAAATAATCTGTGCATATACATTGCCCTCCTCATAGCTGCTGACTATTCTCTCCTTTAACTTGCATGCCACAAATACCAGCTGCTTTTAAACCTACTCAGTGTGTAAATCGTGCCATCTTAAACACCAACTCTGAATATTGTTTGATGCCTGTTGCTAAATTTTTGTGGTACCATTTATCCTAAGCAATTCATTGATTTCTGTTTTGTTGTTTGTAACAAAGTATGTTCTTTGAAATTTCTCTCAGTTCCAAAGCAAGGATTAACTACTACGGTAGCGCAACCTAAATCACTATACAGGCATAACAAGCAATTTTTACAAGTCTTACAAGTTTTACAAGTCCAAAGTTTCTATCAAAATATTTCTTGGTATTGCTTGTTCAGCATGTAACTTGGACTCTTTTTCAGTATGCCTTTAAGAAACAAGAACTCCATGGGCTTTAAAATTTCTTCTAAAGATTCCTGTGCCTGAAAATATAAGTTGGTTTTTGAACAAATGCAAAGTGTCACTAAAAAGGAGCGATTTTCACAAATATTATCAGTGTTCATTCAAGATTTTTTTTTTTTTAAAAGAGAAACATTTTGGGTTTTCAAGTAAGCAGGATATTAGATAGTTTTCAACTGTCTATTCAGGTTTATGTTTTCAGAAGTTTGTCTGGACTTTCTCTGGGCTCAGGAAAAGTGTGCAGTTAATTGTAGATAAGGGTATGAAGAGCAGGTTTTAGCTAGATTTTGAACTGACTGGGAAAACTTAGTGTGGCCAACTTGCTTTTGTCTGGTGTTTTACAGGTTCCAGAATCTGCTGTGGTCTCGAAAAGCCTTTGTGGACAGTGTGAAGGTGTATAACCACAGCTACATCTACATGCCAGCCTTCTCGATGAAGACAGGGACAGGACCCTCACTACGTGTCTATTATACCCTGAAGGACTTCGGTGCCAAGCAGGCGGTCCTTTTTGCCAACCCCAATTTCCTGCGTGACATTGGCAAGTTTTGGAAGAGCAAAGGTATCCATGCCAAACGGCTTTCCACGGGACTTTTCCTAGTCAGTGCTGCCCTTGGTCTGTGTGAAGAAGTAACAATTTATGGCTTCTGGCCGTTCTCGGTGGACCTGCACGGGAAGTTTATTAGCCATCATTACTATGACAACGTCTTGCCCGATTCTGGATTCCACGCTATGCCAGAGGAATTTCTACAGCTCTGGTTTCTTCATAAAAGTGGTGTACTGAGAATGCAGCTAGAACCATGTGAGGACCCTTTAATCCAGTCTTCTGCCTGAGGATTGTAGGAGTTGGTTTGGGAGATCCAATAGTTTTTAATTTCCATGCTCTCCAACAGAGAGTTCTGTTTTCTGTTGATTCTTTTTAAAGGGAAAATAATCATGGATCTGCATGGACCATAAAAATGCTACTTGAAGGCCAAATGGAATATGTCCTTAATGTATAGTGCTTTATGGAACTGTGGTGGGGCGAAGTGAATCTCTCCATTGCATCTGTTCAGCAGCATTGTGAAAATAATGTCAAGAAGCAGCACAGCTGAACTTTCCAGGGGACGTTTTTAAATGACCAATGTAAAAAGGGCATTAAGGCTCAGAGAGACACAGGGCCACCCACAAGCTTTTGCTGACAGTGCCAAATATGACTGTCTGTTCAAAAATCCATTTCATTCCAGATTGGCACCTCATACAACCTTCCTTTTTCCTTTCCCCCACCCA